CAATTTTTTTATTTTAAATCTTAGACCCATAAGCCATGTGTCATGGTTCAAAGTAAAACTATTACAACCATTTTAAAAAATATATATATATATATTTTTTTTTACAGAGAGGAAGGGAGAGAGATAGAGAGTCAGAAACATCGATGAGAGAGAAACATCGATCAGCCGCCTCCTGCACATCCCCCACTGGGGATGTGCCCACAACCCAGGTACATGCCCTCGATCGGAATCGAACCTGGGACCCTTCAGTCCACAGGCCGACGCTCTATCCACTGAGCCAAACTGGTTTCGGCCATTTTTAAAATCAAATAGAGTGGAGTAAAAACCTCAAGGCTTTGTATGTTTTGTTTTTAAGGTTGCATAGCACTTGAGTTCACAGCAAAAATACTTCCCCTAGAAGTCCTTGCTATAGGTCTGCATTTTAATATACTGCACACAACATAGCAAGCCCGGTGAGAGGAAGCCTGAGTGTGCACTGCTTTTAATTTACCTTTTTATTATCAAACATGCGTCTGCTGTAAAATGTCAAATGGCTCTGCATGGCTTAGTCTAAAATAGCAGTTCTTACCCTCACCTGCCCCACCCCATAGGTAGTAACTCTTATAGCTGATTTTTTTGAAATTTACCTTCAAATCTTTAAATGGCCTGCATGTAACGCTATTTCTTGATATTTTAGTTTTATAGATTATTTCTTGAGTTCCCACTATGGAAGATGAAAATCTGGCTCTATTCCCTTTCACCCCCTACCCCACCATCCACTCCCTTCTGACCCTGTAACTCCCCAGGGTAATTTTGTCCTTATTTTGGTTAGACTAGTATGCGCCATTTACATTTTTACATTATTAGTTCTGTTTTGTTGTTGTTAATCCTCACCAAGGATATTTTTCCATTCATTTTTAGAGAGAGTGGGGGGGGGGTGCTGAGGGAGAGAGAAATAGAGAGGGAAACATCAATTGGTTGCCTCCTGCACATGCCCTGGGGCCATGGAACAAACCTGCAACCCAGGTAGGTGCCTTTGACCGGGAATTGAACCTGTGATGGCGCTCTAACCACTATGCTCCCTAGCCAGAGCTTACGTTATTAGTTCTGATCATTTTAGACCAGCATTTGTGAAAGGGGGGTTCAGAATACATTTCCACAAGATGTCAGTAGGGTTAGGTCTATGATTCAATATGTTTGGGAAATACCAATTAAAGTTAAAAACATGTTCCTACTGTAGGACTTCTCAGAGCCTTTAATATGCCAGTGTACTTCAGAAGGGACATGGGTATGCAATAGTTCTCAAACCTTTGGCCATGGAACCTTTCTGGTACAGAGCCACTTGATGGGACACAGTTTGAGAAACATTGTTTTGTATGCATCTCCTTGGCCAATGACTATTTTTTAAAGTTAGAAACAGTTTGGCTTCTTTCAAACAATCCCCTTTTGGAGAGTGAGAAAATAAACCACAGAGAGCATGTGTGTTGTTGAGCCTGTGAAAAATGCTGGTGTGAACAACAGCCTCATTTGATTGACTTCTTTTTCCTTCTCCAAAGACTGACCAGCACTATCACGTGTCCACTTGTCGTGGAGAAGGTGAAGAGCCTGCTGAAGGGTCAGGGCTTCCCAGATTATGTGGCCTCTTTTGGAAATTCTCAGGCCCAGGATGTGCTGGACTGGGTGCCTGTCCACTTCATCACCCAGGCACCCCACACGAAGGTACAGGGGGAGAAGTTGAAGGCCATGTAATGGCGATCTCTCTTTCTTCCGTGCCGCTCCACCCCGTGGGAGGTAGATGGCTCTGGGCCGGAGCCTGGGATTGACCATCAGATGGGCCCGGACCCTGAATACGGATTTTGTCCTTGTTAACACTGCTGTCACTGGCCATTGATTTTGTGGGGTTGGGCCCTTTCCTGTCTGTGAAGTGGGAATGATGGCTGTAGTACCGACCTCATAGGGATTGTTGAGTTAATGAGGTGATTAATATTCATGGTGCCTAGTGGTTACTCCGTA